TATTCGAAACTTCCTCCCCCCGCAATACTCGACCACTTAAATCCACTGCGTATGTACTAGCATAATTTGAAAACTAAAAAATTTTACAACTTCAAATTTTCGCGTTTCGAATAAGCTCGAATTTAAGAATCGCGGATATTCGAGGTTTCGCATACATATTCGAATACTTCACTCAAACAATTCTTAGACAAAAGTTGTCTGTCATAAAAAATTTGCACTTAATATAATTATATATTTTAGAGACGCCTTGCCGCACTGAATGTGTTTGTATAGCTAACAAGTCATAGGGAGTGGAGAAGAATTCATCAATCAAGTTTTACAACTACTATATTTCACGACTTCTCACAGCTCATTTTATTCTAAGCATGCAGCGTGAGTTCTTGCGATGTAGCAAAAATAACATTACACTTTTTTCAAACCTTCTTCATTCGTCATTTTCGTTCTCTTTTTCTTTCGTCCATATACCTCCAACAAATTTGGAGCTAGTCTCTTTATACATAAAAACTAATTCAACGTATTTGAGGCCACTCTCAAGCTAGGAAGGTATTTGAATTTGAAACTTTCGCGCGTATTTTTCTCTTCAGACCAATTAAGAGAGGGAAATGGGGGAAACGTGCAAAATAATTAGATTTATGGGATTGCGAGAGTGGTCACGTGAGATACATGGTAGTGATCTTAAGCGTAAAGTCAACCGCTGAGAATAAGACTGGAAGTAGAATCATTCCTCCTATATTTGAGTGAAAAAGGACTTTGAAAAAGTCATTTTTACATGTTTCCTTTCAATTTTTTCCTTAAACATGATTCCTTAAAAAAATGCGTAGTTGTCTACGTTCTTAGCACAATAATGCGAAGGTAATCTTAAGGTTGAGATAGTCCAATCGCAATAAATCTTCAGGAAGTCATAAAATGAAATAGGAAAGTTGCGCAGTTGTCAGTTGTATTGTGAATGAGATTTCCTGTTAAATGATTGTAAAAGAAAACTTCAATTTGACTTAGATATTGAGGAGAACAAAAAACACGGTTTTTCTCGTTTCATTCAGTCGAGCCAAAAAATTGAATATTGTGCAGTTGTCTGTTCAAATGCTCGTTTCAAGATCTTCTCAAGAATATAAGGTTTGCTTACATTAATTTGAATAACTGAGAAAAGGGCACCAGAGCCAAACGCCCCGTGGAACACGCTTAGTTGCGTAGAGAGTGTGCAATTTTGTGAGGCGACAGAGAACGACCAGAGCGGACGGGGCATTTGGCTCTGATGGGTTATCTCGGCTCCTAGTGCTCAGAATCGTATGGAGAATCCAGCTGACAACTGCGCAACTTTCATAAGATATCATAACGAATTATTCTCTATATTCTTTCAATTTTCACCACTCAAGGCGTGAATTCCTCCCTCTATTGGTCTTATAGTTCTCGATCTTCGAGCTTCTAGTGTGTCTAAAAGTCAACGTCCGGCCTTCCTCAGACCTTGACTTACTCAACTCTCTTAGATGTGGTTCCTATTCTTACTTCGCTCATCAGTGAAGGTGACCAGAGCTGGCTCTATGTGTCTAACCTATGCTTCTATCTCCCCTCTCCCCACTCCACCTGCATGGCTCTTTCTCATGAGCAAGAGTGAGTTCAGATACGGCCATGTCCTTTAAAAAATCTACTGGCTACGCTTAAAC